ATATATTTAGATATATTTAGATACTAAACAACTTAGTAAAATGGGTAAGATAATTCAAAAACATCTCAATCAATCTTATTAAATAGAACTATATATACTCGATTATTCTATCAAATTGCAAATTTTAACATACAAATGGTAAACTTTTTTTTGAAAGGCAATAATACTTTTATTTATTTTTAGTGTATAAGAGGTATTTTTATTCATAAATATTAATATTAATATTAAATTGAACCATACTTAAACTCAACAAGATTTAAACAATAGTTTATTAATGATGACCCAAAATTTCATTAAAACCATGAATATTTTAAAGCCAAAGTCCCTATTTGCACCATCAATTTAATTTTTTTTCGTGGTCAATACCTTCCAAAATTTTTCCTCTCTATTCACACATTCCACTTTTCAAAACCCGTGAAAAATCCAATATTTTAACAGGCCGTCACAACGCCGTTAAAAAATGCACTACGTGGTATCCAGAAATTGGCGTGGCACTATGTAACGTTAGTAATCCAATGTGGATCCATTTTTTGATGATGTGACTTATTTTTTGCACACGTGGTATCCACGTGTGCATAAACCTAAAACCCAAAACAGATCTACAGAAACCTCGTTATTTTTGTCTTCTCAATCTTAAACCCCAATCTAGAACCCAAAACTAAATCTTCCTCAACAAATCATTCAAAATGCACAAATTGAGCTCATTCAAAGACTTGAATTTGCCAAAAGATAAACCACAATAGCTAAAAAGGTACCAACCACAAGGAAGAAAAGCGTGATTGTAAGATCTAGTAAAAATTATCCATATTTTTCACAAAATCGCAATTTCGAATTGTAGCAAACAAATAAAATTACAAACATAAGCTAAGAATAAGGGAAGCAGGACATGGAGACAAAATCTGAAATCGTAGAAGCCATATAATAGAGGTAGATCCATCACGGTCGATCATACTTTACCTCTTGCAAGGGAAGAAAAAGGCGAGAAGGAGAAGAAGCCTAGGGAGCAAGACGGAACCCAGGTCTGGGTTCTGCGAGGAACCCAGGTCTGGGTTCTACGAGGAACCCAACAACAGGGTTCTTACGAGGAACCTAACTTGTGGAACCTAGATGAAGATGATGCTGAGGATGAGGAGGAGGATAAGGATAAGGATAAGAAGAAGATAGAAAAAATTAATTATGTTTTAATTCATTTAATTCCTTAGATTTTTTTTTAAGCATCCACGTGCGCATAAAAAATTATGCCACATCATAAAAGAAAGTATCCACGTTGGATTAATAACGCCACAATGTCATGTAGTGCATTTTTTAACGGTGCCATGACAGACCGTTAAAATATTGGGTTTTTCACAGATTTTGAAAAGTGGAGGGTGTGAATAGGGAAGAAAAATTTTGGAAGGTGTTGACCATGGAAGAGAATTAAATGGAGGGTGAAAATAGAGGTTTGGCCATATTTTAATTGATCCAACATTTAAATCATAAATAACAAGAACAAAATGATTCAAATTTTAAATCTTCAAATTCATAATTTGTTGGGCATGTATGAATATTCAATACAACGTGCAGTACACACTTTCAACAAAGTTTTCTTGCATCCATTATTTTTTAAATTGAGTCAATTCCATAGAAAAAAAAAAGGGTTGAAACTTGAAATGTTGATTCATAGCAATGGAAAAAACTCAAAAGTCAGTAAAGCAAGCAATGAACAAGAATTTTACGACTAGCAACTTTTTCAAGACGAAATGAAATATTCTTTCTTTTACCGTGGCATTGCAGAACCAGAGACGGTTCGGTTAACGTCTTAAACGGGGAGCCATGGATTGAAAGCTTATGGTATAGCTCCGACAAAGAAACTTCGACATTTTCTGCTCACAAAAGAAAAAAAGCAGGTTAAATGTTCAATTTGGTCCTTAAATTATTGTATATACCTCCTATTTGGTTCATGAACTAAAAAATCCTTAATTTGATCTCTAAACTATTATACGAACCCCTAATTTGGTCTTACTGTTTACCAATTTACTTCAAGTTAGTCCTTTCATATAAAAACCAACTAATGTATTTTATTATTAACGTGACATATGACTATTAAATTACTGTTTTTCGTTGTTAAGTTATTATTTTTCATCATTAAGTAAAAGATAAATCAATTATTTTTTGTACAGAATGACGAATTTAAAGTAAATTGATAAATAATATGGACCAAATTGAGATTTGTATAATAGTTTAGAAATCAAATCAAAAATTTTTTTAGTTTAAAAATCAAATAAAAAACCCTTATAATAATTTTAGAACCAAATTAAAGGTTAAAAAAAAAAAAAAAAAAAGACAGGTGCGCATTTGCATCATGGCTTACGCAAACTTCCCTTTTTTTTTTTTTAATAAAAAAATTATTTATTGTTATCGTTACATATTTTTAATATGGGTGTAGAAAGAGAAAGAGGAGTTAGAAACCGAACATAATACCATCCAGCAATATTCTCACTCATAAAACAAAATATTACTACTACGTACTACGTACGCCCATTACGTGACCAATGCAAACTTTTCTATTTCATCAATGACTGTATCGCCACGTTCATTCTTCCTGTAATAAAACACGATAAAGACTGATGTCGTCGCTA